GAAATCGGTTATTACAATGTAGATTTGAATGACAGCAGATGGGATCCACTCTTCCACCCAAGAAGAGATTCACATACATCTACACTATGCATGTACTGTTTGGAACAGAATTTTTTAGGGCTTAAATCTCTAAGTTATAAAGATATAATTGTCTAGTTTCCACTCTGTCACTTAAAATTCTCCCTATGCATGCAGTGAAAGTGCAGATCTAGACTGCAAAACAGTCGTTTTTTTCTTTTTTTCTCAAAATCAGTTTAGTGTTTTCATGCATACTTGAATATGTAAAAATATGGACTGTTTTGCAGTCTTAGTCCAGTGGAGATCAGACCACGAGTCAAGTGGTTGTTTATAAAATGCCAAAAATAATGGAAAATGATATAAATCAATCACCCCAAAAAATGGTCATAGTTACTTACAAGAGGTGCTTGTTTATAACAGGTTATCAATACTGGGCTTTTCAATACTGGGCTTTTTGATCTGGTTTTTGGATAGCTGGTTGCCTGTGGGAGGTGGGTACCTCTAGTAAAGGTGATCACACAGAGGTTTGATTATAATTATTATCATAATACTACTATATTATCATAATCATTATTATATGATCATAAATCGTATTATTGTCTTATAATATTGTTATTATTATCAAACTATTACTGTTATTATTCTATTATTCTTATTATTTGAAAAAAATTTTTTCACCTCGATTATCTTTCTCATTGAGGTCAGCCCCATTTGCTGCCAAAGCCTAAACAATAAATAGGAAAGGAAAAGAGTGTTTCCCACAAAAGTAAAAGTAAAAGTAATATAATTAAAAGAGCAGATTCTCTCTACATCATAAGAGAGGAGAATATTAATTATAGCATAAAGTATGGAAACAAAAGCTTTATTCTGCTTTCAATATTTCTAAAATAAGTAGGATATTGATTAACCTGTAAGCAAGCATCTTGACCTCTGATTGCCGTCAGGTGTGCTGGAGTCCACCCTTGGGGTGTCTTGTCTGAGTGGTCCGCGCCATGCCACAAAAGCCAGTGTAAACACTGTCAATGATAATATCAATACAGCTGTATGAAAACCCTCATGTACAGTGTCATGACAGCAACCCTACACCTTCACTAGGTGATAATTAACTCTCCTCAAAAATTAATTGTTTGAAATATGTACAGTATAGCATGCCAGCTAGCTACTTGCAAGTCTAGTGAAAGTAGCTTCATGTAGATATTTAATACCAGCTTACACCAGTGTCCTTGAACCAACATCAGTAATCATGAATCACTCAATGTATACTACATTCTGTTTTAACACTAAAAAAAGTTAGCCTGAAATTTAAATCTTAAAATCAATCACAATTGCATACAGCTGTGCAAATGTCATCATTGAGGAGCCAAGTGTATATTGATAGGGTGACTTCAATTTTTTGTAAAAATGCTCTCTTTTTTTCTTGCGATCTTTTTATGAGGTCTACTTGACTTTACAAGCAAAAATTAATAATTTTTTTTTATAAAATTATTTATGCAATTAGTAGCTCAATTAGTAGTCCGACCAACACTTCCATTACCGAAGGAAAACAATTATGTTTTTACTACCCATGTGGCCACCCTGCAAACCACCAATATTATTAACAGCATCCCATATCTTAATTGAGCCGGTAACTTGAAATTTATACCTACAGCTATACAACTGTACCAAAGAAGCAACGCATGGGAGTACACTATATATAGATATCTATGGTTCTACATCAAATATATTACATATATTATATATTACAGGAAAAATCCCCACTTTTTGAACCTCCTGGGGAAAAGGAAATCAAATCAAATTAACTGCAGTTAAAATCAACCAGATTCCAATAAACGAGATATAAAATCAATTAATGGTACAGTGTTTGAGACAGTCTTTGGTGGTTCCGGAAAGTTTAAAAAGACCGGGATTTCACTTTTGCATATTTTACCTCTAAAGAACCATGGTGAGCTGCCCAGTGTAATGGAGTAAATTTAAACTTGGAATCGGGATCGTTTATCCCTGCACCTCGCTGAACCATACTTTGAAGTTCCAGAACATCGCCGTATCGAACGGCTTCGTGTATCGAAGCGAGTCGCACTTTCTCTAAAACACATAAGATGGAAGGCTTAAGAAATAGAAAATATAACACTTGCAGTTTAGAAAAAAGGAGCCGTCTTGTATTGATCGATTACCTGGCATTCCTTAATTCTAAGGCGAATATCAAAAAATTTCAGTTGAAAACAAAGCTTCAAAGATGGCGGTCAAAAACAAGGTTGTTGCCATGCAAAAACCCGCTGTCCGTGAAAACAGCTATCGGGCTCAACTTCCGGTAATTATATTTGCATTTCCGATTGAATAAGCCAATGGCATTGCAATATTTCACGAAGTGTGTTTCAATTGTTGATTTCCGCGCTAATGATTACGAGGCTTCTGGAAGCTCGTATCTGCTGAGAAAGGCAACAACATCTAAACGTAGAGGCGCTTTTTCCATCATTAATTAATCATGGTTAAGTTGTATTATTTTGAAAATCAGCGCTATAGCAAGCTCAAGGCACAATGTGAAAGAAATGAAAGTTTATTCGTGGACCCCGTATTCCCGCCAGAAACCAAGTCATTGTATTTCAGTCGAGCAACACCTCCAGAGCCAGTCGAATGGAAGAGACCAAAGGTAAAATCAGCCTTAAAATTGAGCTTAATTTTGTTAACCTTATTTATAAGGCGACCTGTTTTCATTGAATCGGTAATGAGTGCAATGTCTACCATTCAATATTGCAACTTTAAGTTGCAGAAACTGAAATAAGGTTCCTAAACTCAGTGTGGGCAAAAATATTTACAACAGACTATTTAGCTTACATGATTGTCATAAGCTTCAGGGTTATTCATTTCAAAATTTCAACCACAGAGAACTTTTAAACCATTGGAATATTTGTCCGGATAGTCGGTTGCTAGCTTGCGAGGTACAACACTGTTCACTTCTTAGCAAATCAATCGCACTTTGCTGTTAAGTGCTACGTTGTAGGATATAAACTCAGAGATGTAAAGCGGCGCCAACTAAGACGTTGATATATTAGACAAGTTGAGGAATATTGCCCGTCAAGATGTTTTAAGGACATCTCTCACCTTGATAGTGTTGTCAGCTAAAAGCGTAGGTAAATTTGTAATATGTTCATAATTTACATAATTATAATAAAGATTAGCATTTTTATGTATAGGTATATGAATCAAAATAATTTTTAAGCTTATCCGCTTTTAAACGCCATTATCTTCTGTTACTGAAAGTTTTTCATCCTGCAAAGAGTTTTAATGAATAGAAATATTTTTTCTGCTCATTCCTAGAGTTGCCTCATCAGAAATAAGACTGAAAATAGATGACGTAATTCAAACTTATTATTTTCTGATAAAAATATTTTTCATGCTTGGCACGTTCATTTCTTTCTATTTTTATTACTTATAGTCATTTTTATGCATTTACATATTTCTGAAAAAAAGTGTAATTTTCATTTTATTAAGCTATGTTCACACTTTACTGGGTACCTTTTGCGCCAGCACGAAAATCATACCGGATAGGGCTTCTTTTCAGACGTAAAAAAGGTGATTTTGGTACAATTTCTGTTACAGAGGCCCTGCCAGGGTAAATTCCGACAAGCAACATGGCCCAAAAAGTAGTGACAGTGCGTGAAATGAAATCGTGACAAGAGACAACCTCCCTCGGACAAATTTCAACAGTGACGTCAAAGCCAACAATAAGTGACAAGCATTTATAAACACTGACACAAGACGTTTTAAAATTCAGGCGGGCGACATGGGACCCCCCCCCCTCCCCGGCAGGGCCTCATTACAGAGCAAAGCTCTGCCACGCCGATCTTGAAAGTGGAGTGTCACATATCAGAGATAGTTTTGATGTAGTGTGATCAGGTCTTCGGACCATAGCAGAAGTTAATAAGTAGGAAAGAGGACTGGAACCCACTGACACAGAAGTAAATGTTAATTTTAGGAGTGAGGATTGAAATTTAGTGAACCAAACTCTCTTGGCCAGCTAGTCCTGGGTAATGTTCCATGTGTGTGAATGCATGACTCATTCGAGACCTATGCAGGTCGCAAAGAAAGTCTGTTTTACAGCCTGCCAGTCATACAAACGGTAGCTAGCAAGTACTAGCCCACAAGTCATTTCAACTAGCCCCCAAACCCTTTTTGATAAGCAGGATTGACTACAATCCTTCTGTAATTTGAATTTCCCCAAAAAACAGCACTTGCCCAACAGTTAGGAACAAAAATCACTACCCCAAAGCAACATCCACTAGCCCCGTGCTATCGGACATCACTTTTTGTGCACACTGTCTGTTCCGTTGATGTTCATGCTATACTTGAAAGCTTTTCTTGCCAAGTTGGTATAAAAGCGATTGAGTATAGTGTGAAATTATACACATTTACATGTACTTTCAAATTGTTACATTTACATCCTAACATTAACCTTTTCTTTTTTACCAAGGATATTTGTGCCCCAGATCCTCCACACCTGTTTGTTGATGGTATGAGCAGTCATGATGTCACACAAGGCAAACTTGGTAACTGCTGGTTTGTGGCTGCCTGTTCTTCATTGGCTCTTGAACCTTCTCTCTTGGAGAAGGTTTGTTTTTGTTTTTTGAAACACTAGTTATAGTCAGACCTGTGTACAATGGTCACCCTTGGGAAATGGAAGGTGACCGTCATGTACAGGGTGACTGCTATTTACAGGTAACTTTGCAGAAAATAATGGCAACCGAAAATATTGGGAAGTTGTCTGGTGACCGTAATATACAGGGTCACCGCTGCAGTATATAAAGGGCCATAGTATACAAGTTTGACTGTATGTACCCTCATATACGACAGACCCACAAATAAGAAAGTGCTTACATTTTCTACAAATCTACTGTAGGCTTAATTATTATTATCATCTGCTACTGAGGAAGGTGTGCCTACTTCTTGAAGAAATTAATTAAGCTACATAATCTAATAAGTTCAAATAATTATCTATTCAAATGTTTTTAAAGCATAGCCGGAAAGAAAAATCCTTATGATGCTGACTGTCAGTCAAAACTGTCAGCATCATTAGTATTTTTCTTTTGGGCCAATCCTTTAAGAACGTTTGAATAGAGTGTGCTTACCTCCATCCCCAAACTAAAGGGGATCAGAGACCAGACTTTGAAGCCTACTTTGAAGCCTAGCTATCCACTTATCTCCCAGCCCCAGTAGTTCAAAAGCTGGATGGTGCTATCCTGATTTATCCAGTGGATAAGACTAAGTATTAGGGAAACCAATTGCGTATTCTAGTGGATAGAGATTTGAACAACAACTTGGACCTGCTCTTTAACCCATCCCCTTTTTGTTGTACAAACAGGACCTTAGTGTCTTAACATGTAAATGTGAGGTGCTTTATGCTCAGTATACAATTAAGACTGTCTAAATTAAGGAGGCTCAAGTCAGATAAAATCTGACCTTTTTAATATTCACCCTACACATTTTGTACATGTATGTCCACTTATTTTATGGTCCCTGGAAGCCCGTCTTTTAAAAACCCTTGTGGCTCTGAGTACCTCACAGTAAAATGCTAGAAATTGGATGGTGTTATTGTGAGGGGGGGGGGGGATTTTTTTTTTCGGGGGGGATGCCTTAATTTTGACTCAGGCTGCATGTAGTTAATGGGACTTTTGGAGGAAATTAAACCAAATTTTATTTTGAACACCAAACAAGAGTAAAATCTGTAACTCGTATGAAAATAAAAAAACGATCTGAAACGAAAAATAATTTATTTCTCTTCTCGTCCGTTCTGCTTCTGTTGCGCTTTGTCTAGTGCCTGCGGCACGCCGCGTCGGCAGGTGGTGGCTGCTGGTTGGAGGGCGACGTGTGGGTGGGGGGAGGGGTGGGGGGTGGGGGGGGTGGGTGTTGGGGGGGGCGGGGGTTTTTTTTTTTCGGGGGGGATGCCTTAATTTTGACTCAGGCTGCATGTAGTTAATGTGACTTTTGGAGGAAATTAAACCAAATTTTATTCTGAACACCAAACAAGAGTAGAATCTGTAACTCGTATGAAAATTAAAAAACGCTCTGCAACGAACAATAATTTACATTAATTTTACATGTAATTTACAGTCTATTCATTCCAAAGTATGGTAATCACTATTTAGAAGCTGTTCAGTTTATCAGAGCTTAAAATAAATAATGTTCACTAATTTTTGTTTTATACAAGACAAGTTGAAGCTCACTTGAATTCTTTTGTCAAAGCCAGTCATTGACAGCTGTCAGTACATTGTACATGTAGCTTACGTTGCCCAATTTCATCTTGCTTTAAAGCTCATGATAAACATGAGTTGTTGGTGCAAGTGGGGAATTCTCCCAAAAAAAAACTCAAAATCAGGGGAACAAAAATGACGAGTGACATTCATGTGATGGAGTGATTTAATTTTCATATGACGTTTTGCTGTAAGAAAAGTTGAAGGGAGCCCAGGGTTCTGAACCCATAAAATCTGGGATGCCCTGCATATGATTGTCTGGTCACCTGCAAGCAAAAGCTACATGTAGGCACCAGTGGCCACTGGGTGCTGCTAGAGCACAGCTTTGTCATGAGTTGTGAGCGCTTTCTATTCAAGAAAAATTCAGGATTGAAATTTTGGAAATTTCACTCTCTGAATGGAATGATACAATCAGCTGAACTGATCTGACCCAAGCCACTGAATGTTTGGCATAGGATGCAGAAGAGCAGTACTGGAGACAACAATTTTGTCGAATGGAAAGGGGCAATGAAATGACCAGACTGGTCAAAGTGGACCATCTTCAAAGGTGGTTGCAATTATTCTGGTCGGACCGAACATAAAATAATGGTCTGTTCCATTTGATCTCCACGAGAAATTTCCATAATTTTGAGTTGAATGGCGGCCGAAAACACCAAGTGCAATGTTTGTCCCACCCCATGACAATTAAAGTTTAAATTCCTTCATTCTGTAGGTAATTCCAGAGATGAAACACCAAGAATGGGACCCTGAGAATGTTGGGAATTATCAAGGCTTATTTAGGTTTAGGTTTTACCGTCAGGGCCAGTGGACCGAAGTTGTCATTGATGACCTGTTACCTACGGTTGGTGGCAAGTTGGTTTACATCCATTCCACTGAAAAGAATGAATTTTGGAGTGCTTTGGTCGAGAAAGCTTATGCAAAGTAAGAGTTATGTCAAGGCTGTACATCTCCGAGGAACAGACAAGGATTACTGTCTTGTGAAAACGACATTAAATACACTATTATTACTAACATTCTGCTGGACATGTAACCTCACCAAATGATCATGTGTGGCATTTTCACTGTACTTTATACTCAGGGCATGGAAAAAGGGAGGCCATAGACATGCTTCCACCTTGCCACTTGTACAGTGTAATTTCAACATTTTCAACTTACGGCCATATTTTGATTTATAGAGAAGACAGAAAAGAATAGTTATTGTATTTTTTTAAGCCAGACAAGGGACAAATTATACGTATTATAATTTGTCCCTTGTCTCGCTTACCTTTCTGTTTACTCTTCAAACCAATTCATCATAAAAATGGAACCCACTGTTAACCACTTGACCACACCTTTCCGTTACTTAAAACAACCTAAAAAGTTGACCCTGGGTTCTGTCTCCAAACCAAAATAGCAAATGAATTCCTGACAACTAGGCTTGAAAAAAATTCCATTTGGGAGCCCAGGACGAGTGGATTTTCTTGCTGGGCAAGTACAAATGTACGATGTACATTGTAACTTTTGAAGCTCACTTGATCAATGAGCAAAGCAGTGTGTTCCCTTTACCGTCTGAAGCAACACTTCTTACCGCCTGCAACCGCTTGAAGGTTTACTAAAATTGAAGGAGTTGTCTTTAAAAAAATTAATATCACTGAAAAGTACGCAAGTTGTGATCCAATCTGATTAAGGTAATGAAAGAATATCTGGAAGTTTACTAAAGTATACACAGCTTTTTTTATGGGCCACACATTTTGGAAAGCGAACATTCAAGACATTTTTGGGATCAAATGTTTTGAATTGTTGTCTAAAGATAACAACGGCTGATTTGCGTAAAGTAGGTATCAAAATGAGGGAATGACATTTCAGAGAACGTAGCTCCTAAATTTCGCAGCGAGGTCAAAGCCATGCCCCTCACTCCCTAACCCCCTCCCCCCCCCTCCCCCCAGGAAAGTGGGCCTCTGGCACATTGCGTTTGCCTTACGGGCCATGAATGGTCCCTTACCTGCTGAGCTAAAAATTAGGGAGAACACTGCAAGGCTCCAAGAAAGTTACCCTCTAACTAAAACAAGGAAGCACAGGCTGTAGTTGTCCCGTTGAAGCAAGATGTGAGAGATACTTGCCAAAGGACATGCTGGAATTCAAGTTTTTCTCTAGCCCTGTGCTAACCACTTGACCACACCCTTAATTTACTCCAAAACAGGTTGGCAGGGTCATATGAAGCTCTAGAAGCAGGTAATACTGGTGATGCATTGGTAGACTTCACTGGAGGAGTGTGTGAGTCTGTCAACCTTAAAGATGGTGGCTATGCTGACGATACGGAAAAAAGACAAGCCTTGTTTAAGAATATGGAGCGATCAATGAAGGAAAAGTCTCTCATTAGTGCTTCCATAAGGGTGAGTACAGCAGAATGCATTCCATGGGTTTTAGTGTAGTGTGATTGTGATGTACAGAAAAATGCATGCTGAAATAAAGAAATTAATTTTCTGAGACACATCCTGTAGCGTTAAAAACTGTAACATTCCAGTTACTTGTATTACTCTGTATTTGCCAGCTGATCCTCTATTTAACGAGCAAGGATTAGTACTCTTGTAGTCAATTAGTATGATGACTTCTGTGCTGGAGGCTTTGAGTTCAATTCCTCGCTGTGACCTCAAATACTTGCTTTGACCCCGTTCCCTTCCTGGTACTTGTAGCACGCTGTAGTACACTGTGCATCAATGTAGCTTAAAATACATGTGAAATGGAACCCTGATGGAGAGAGGGGGGTTAAATTCGTGCACCATTGGAACGATTCGTGCTCACTCTGGTACGGTTTGAAAGATCTCTTCACCCTGCACAAGTTAGCAGACAAAGCTGCCCTTGACCGTTAAAACTGACGATACCACAAGCGAGGATTTGCGAGGGCGGTTAAGAGCGGTCCAGGGACGAATGGGTTAATTGTCATTTGTTTACTTTTTGAAGATCAAAAACAGAAACGAGATGGAAAAGCGTACAGAAACTGGCTTAGTGATGGGTCATGCATACGGGGTAACGGCAGTAAAGAAGGTAAGCCGTATCACTACAAATGCAATTGTGACACTAGTGTGACACTAGTGTGACACTAGTGTGACACTAGTGGCAGATCCTGGAAGACGGGTTTAGGTTAGATACAAAGAAGGGGTGTTTAGAACGCTTTTTTTCATGTTTTTCTGTCATTATGTTACTTGGATTGCTTTCATGATTATTTTACTACAAAGTGCGTTAATCGAAATTTAAAGACTAAAGCTTCATTCTCAGTTATTCGTGCTCAATTATGTTATCCGTGTCTCTTTTTTTCAATTTTAAAACCTGGTTTATTTTAACTTGTTTAGTTGGTGTGAACGGGGCCCAAGTATGTGCATATATGGTCATTAGATTATTCATAACAACCTGAGGCTCTAAGCGTTGTGTTTCAATTCTAAGCCAGACTATAAAATCAAATTCCTGGCCTTTCGATTGACTAAACTAACTTACCTGGACCTTGCCATTCGTGAATAGCATTTTAAGACATCTGATCCTGTGCTAATTGTGTTTCTCAGATGACTATTGGTGAAGGTCTGTTCAGTTTGTTCAATCGTCAGCATCTATACATGATTCGTCTAAGGAACCCGTGGGGACAGAAGGAGTGGAATGGGCCGTGGAGTGATGAGTAAGTAAAAAAAAAAACCGGAAAGCTACATGTAGCAGACCCTATAATTTTCACGGTGTGTTTCAACAACGTGCGCGCGTGAAGAAAAAAGCCATAGCGCATCCCTGGAGCTGCCGCATGGGAAAGGCGCGAAAGGGCTGTAACACTGGTTTTCATTAGCAGTATATATAACCGGTATCGGCGTTGTACTGAATCAGAAGCGCACACTGTAGACTGTTATGATCAAGTGTGAAAAGCGTTCTGATTTGACTTTCGACTCTGTCGCTTGCTATCTAGTGAAATTCATTTTGTCGGAGTGGAAAGCAGAAAAGGAAGAAATTAACTAGTCAAACTCGTGTTTGGTAAAAAAGAAGCGCACGCAGCAATTTTACCTATAACCTTGTTTGGCATCCAGGGCCGTGTTGTTCAAAGCTGGGTTGAGATAGCCCAGGGTTAGTGCGAGATTTGATTTCAGTTTTAATTCTTTTTGTCTACAAGTTGATGATGGGAAGCTCTAACAATAACCGAAAATTATCCGAGAAAATTCTTTTGAACAAAAGAAAAAGAAACCCGGGTTAAGCGTTAATCGGCCTTCGAACAACTGGGCCTAGGTGGCTAAACGAATTGTGAAAGTTATGTTATGTTTCGACATGAATGACTGGCATTAGAAAAGGATTCAGAAAGGCTTTAAGGTCGCTGAATTCGATGAAACGTACACAACGTTAGTCAACTGGTATAAAACACGAACAGCAAGCATTGATAGTCGAAGCACATGAGTTCAATTCAATGAGTCCTATGAAAGAACAGGCACGTAAGGCGTACACAATAGGTTATTATACAATGTTAAAGTTGGGGCTTGATACTGTACCCGTATTCTTCTAATTTTAATTTTGAAATTTTGTTCCTGATCTGCGGGGCTTGCGATACACTGTGACGGGTCCTAACGGATCTCTCGAAACTTTTCGATTCATTTTTTTAAAATTTGTTTTTCTTCAAGTGTGATAATTGACAGAAATTGTCTTCTTGTTATATTTTCTCACAGCTCGGAAGAGTGGAAAAAACTGAAACAAAGTGACAGAGAAAAGCTTGGAATTGTGTTCGAAAATGATGGTGAATTTTGGTCAGTACATCTATTCTTGCGTGATATCATTATATTATTGTCATGATATAACCTTTTAGGTCCCAAGAGTGACCAACATCAATTTTCTCCTAACAACATCAGCAATTGATAACCAAAGGGAGAATGTTTTGATGTTAAACCAAATTCTCCAACTTTTTAGTTTTACTCTGAACAGTCCTTTTATGCAACGTAGTCTCTTTGATAGCACTTATTTTTGCTTTTTGGCACAGTAATTGTTACTATTTATTATATAGACACGAGAGTTTTACTGGAAAATATACCACTCGTAAAATTCATAAAAACTACATCCGGGACCAGAGTGGTTTGTTTTCCATAATCTCATACGTGAGTTTATCGATGACGTAATTTTGGTAATTTCCCTCTATTATTTAATCGATGTCATTTTGTCTACATAATAAAAAGAACATTACACTCACTCGTGGCAAAAACAATATTTTACGAACGAGCGCAGCGAGTGAGTAAAATATTGTTTTGCCACTCGAAAATAAAATTTATATCTTCGCGCCACCGTGTAATATCCTCTATATATAAATTTCGATTCTCGGTTTGGCCTCTTTTTTGTTCTGTTATTATGTATGTTATCTTTTGTCGTTAGGATGGCATTTGAAGATTTCTGCACGTACTTCACGAACGCGACCTTGTGTCATGTGTTAAACAAGTCAATCTTATCATTAAGAAAAAGATGGCACGTGTTTAAACATAGCTATCGGTGGACTCCGGGTACAACTGCTGGTGGTTGTGTTGAAAACAGGAGCACATTCTTGAAAAATCCACAGGTAGGTTAATACTTTTGGGCTTTAATTTCATCCTCGAGGACGTCGGCGATGGATTTCGCTCATTACCACTTTTCTTTGCCGTCACTGTACGACTACCACGTGGAAATGCCTAATTTCACGTTTTGTGGTAGGACGTGAACACAAGGCAACGACTTTCTTCTTCTTTTTCTGAACTTCGATACAGCCTTTAGAACTCAACTCCAGAAAAAAAATGCCAAGATTTGACGAATTGAAAGAGATAGAGTGGTTTTCGTTTGAGTGTCGTAAAACCAAAACCAAAGTAATTACTCTGGCCAATCACATAGGACACAGACAATACATTGAACCAATCAAAACTCGAAGTAATTACATGTGGCTGACGCAAAACGTCACAATTGGCTTTGGTTTTACTTCTGATTGGATGAAAAGGTGGCGCGAATCTTTTAAGCCAATCGCATCGTGTAGAAAGTGCAAAACCAATTACTTTTCGACACTCAAATGAAAACCGCTCTAAAATAGCGCGATAAAGTTTGAAGCAGCGCTACTTCACTTTCGTAGCCGTAGCCGTCGTTGTCGCTTAAGCTCCCTAATATACCTATGTAGTAAAGCAGGAACAGCCTCAATGATCATCTTGCATGTTATGGTGTGTGATTTGTTGCTTATTCGTGGTTCATTTTCAGTATGCCTTTACAATCAAAGAAGAAAGTGATGTAATGATTGCTCTGATGCAAGAAGACACGAGAAAAGAAAAGGAAAGAGGAGTAGAGAATCTGACCATCGGCTACTTTGTTATGAAGGTAACTATAGAATGAAGATGATGTGAACTGTGGAAATACAAATTCAAATGAAGATATGATCGTCGCAGTGGCATTTGCAAATTAAACCGGATAAAGAAAATTTCGAGACTTCAACGAGCACGGGCTCGAATCCCGTTGAATCATGGGCTAGAATCCCGTCGCTTAAATTGCAATTACCACTGCGACGATCATATCTCAACCGAAAAGCTAAATGGCGAAGTGAAAATCAAAAAGTTAAAAACAAAAATGGAAAACTGAGTGAAAAATAAAAACGAAATCACTGTGTGGCCCCCCCTTCCGCAATTCACATCATCTTCATTATGTTTCATTCCTTTCACGCGTTGAGATAAACTCAAAAAATTGGCCTGTCCCAACGTATGGATCTTCATACCTCAGTTTGCAGAGCACTGCAGCGCTAACGCAGAGGCCATGTGTTCGAATCCTGTTGAAGTCCCAATTTCTTTTCGTTAATTGCAATTTCTTAAATTGCAATTACCACAGCGACAATCTTATCCTTATTAGAAGGTAAATATAGTCATAAGAACCGTAAGGCAATATGAAAGAGAGCCGCGATATAGGTTAGCAAACCTCTTTATAACGAACATATTTTGCCACTCCCTTGGCCCTTCGTAATATCGAGGTTCCACTGTACTTACATTTATTTGTTTATTTTTCAAAAAGTGGCGAGGCCCTGGGCCCCCCAGCTCTTCCACCTTCGCGGGCCCTGTTATTGTTCACCCTGCCAGCTGAGCATTTTCTTCGCTTGCTCGGTTTTGGCACACTCGAGAAAACTCTGCGAGATCGAGTAAGATCTTTGTTAAGCATGCGCAGCGTGTTGCTAGGATACAGGCCTAATAGCAGTGCGCTTGGTACAGCGGGCTCACTTGTGACCATCGGTTTTGTCATAGCTTGGAACTTCCCAGCGCTTGCTGCGCTGGCTAGTTTTGTCAATAAACGGTTGCTCGCATTCAAAAAAAAAAAAAGTTTGACGAGACAAAACGGGGTCGACTAGTCCAGAAGTTCGAGCTGCGGCGAATTCAAGAGCTTGACGCGATTTAAACAGAGTCTCCTTTTTTCTACCTCAATGAAAAACGTGACAGAAGGAGGCTTTTTTTGGGGGGCAGAGTGCTTTTCGTTTTGCTGTCTGCCGTTGATTCCTTTTTAAACATTATTTTAAATATTTTATTCACCAGTTACGTTTGTATTTTTTACCCGTAGGTGGAAGGAAACCGCAAGTACCGTTTGCATACAATGTTTGAAAAAGCTGGTGATTCTATTTTCATCAACGCCCGAGAAGTGGTGAACAAGTTTCAGTTGAAGCAAGGCCGGTATGTGGTGGTGCCATCCACATACGAGCCAAACAAGACAGGAAGTTTTCTCTTGAGAGTGTTCACCGAAAAGTCTTCGAAAGCAATGTAAGAATTCACATTATTGCCACCGTGGCTGCTTGCGAGCAAGCTCTCCATTTGGAGATATCGTGTAAGTCACGCGTGGGCGGACGTAAAAGAAAATGCGAGAGGCTTCACCGCTCGTTCGTGCGTTCTCGCGCGTTTTGCCTCTTGAAATGGAGAAATTCTCCGCAGCTTACCATCAGGCTGTACTCCTTTTATTAGGGAGCTTAAGCAAGGCGTTTTTGAGCGACGCACCTCAACCGGAAGTGTGGTCTTTTTCTTTTTAAAATAGATTTACGCTACCAAATTTGTATTTCTTAGTCTCTGTCTCATTATGGAGACGATTTGTCCACAAATTTGGCCAAAAATGCCGCTCAAGAATGAAAAAAAACCACTTCCGGTTAACCTACATTGCTCAAAAACGCCTTTGCTTAAGTTCACTATTGTCAGTCCCGTCTTTCGATAAAAGTGGCTATGTATTGATAGAGTGTAGACTAGCTCTTCGTTTCTCACATGCAATTACAGTTATCCGAGGAAATTAATGGTTTAGCTTTACCTCGAGTAAGCTGCTGTCCGACGAAATAGCGGGGTAAAATTAAGAGCCTCTCTCTCCTACATCACCTGTTTTGACTGTTGTTGAAGAATGCTGAAGAATTTTAAACCTTTCAAAGTGCAAATTTGAAACAAAAAAATGCCGAGAAAGAAGTTAACTTATCTAACCCTTCACAATCTTGATTTTTGCGTAAAACTTTATGACGTTGGTGAATTTATACATAGGCTTTTGAGCTCTCTTAAATTTTTCATCAGCCAAAATCACGTTTCGCTCCCAGGTTGTCTCTTCCTCCTCTTGGAGCACTTGGGACAGGAAGTGGAAGTTACTTCGGAGCGAGGCCGCTCGCACCCTTTGGTTGCCTATCAAGAATAGGCGTTTCCGAGATTCAAAAACTCTCACTTTCAAAACGAGGCTAAGTACAAAACCTTTCTCGTGAAAATGAATTTTATTTGCATGAGAATAAAGAATCGTTATCATATCAATAGCTTCGCACTTAGCCTCGCTTTGAAACAGAAGCTTGAGGCATCTTGAAAATGGCCTATTCATTTTCTTATGTGCTTGTCTCGACTGCTTCGTAAGCCCATAATTAAAAACCCTGCCTTTTTTCCTGTTTATGTAGGTTTTTGGACCAGGAGCATTCGACAGGAAGTAAAATCTGGTGTTGCTTCCCTCAATGCCGCACACCTGTATGTGTCATGTCCGTTACGGTAAAATCAGCGAGTGGACTGGAGAAGACAAGCCGACTGTCGATGAGTAAGAGAAATTTTAACTTTCTTGCCTATCATTTTGAAGAAGGGTGGTTTTGAGGAGGATTACAAGGCCTGATCTGCTTGTCAATCAGCTTCTAAGGGAGGACTGTTGCCAATCCACTAACCAGCAATCCTAGAGCTGTAAACCTTGCGAATGAAGTAAACCGAAACTTAACTACAATAAAGATAGCCGACGGTCGCCTTCCTTATGACTCAAAAACGGCATTGTTTACTAACAGTCGAACCTTCACGTTTGACCACCTCTCGCGAGCTACTATTCCCTCTAAGCGACTACTTATCCAAAACAGCAAACGTTTTTAGTCAAAGCCTTAAAGTTGGAGCCTCTCGTAAACTACCACCCCCTTTAATAAGCGACCGCGACCACTTTTGGGGGCTTTTTCTTCCCATGTTTTTTGAACCTCTTATAAGCAACCGTTTGATGCATGGTCTTATATCTATGTTCGTTGTGTATACGTTACCGCTCACAGTATACAAAGAAGTTTTAGCGACAACATGAAGCTACAAATATTGTAACTTAAAAAATGCAGACAATAAATTATCTTCCATTAAGTAGATGATTCGGACCTCTTCTCGGCAGAGGCCCCTTGTGGTTAGATTCTGGCCGGAACCCGCTCTCATAAGCGGCCACTAACTTTTCGCATTTCGGGTGGTCGCTTACAGGAGTTTCGACAGTATTTCAATTCAAGTTTTCCGATTGCTGATTAAGGCAATACTGCTGCTGTGTTATTGTCATTTCAGCACCTGATCCCTATGCCGTGATCTGCTGTGAGGGGCGCAAAGTTAAGAGTCCGGTGGTCAAAAATTCGCTGAATCCAACGTGGAATACCGGCGCCTTATTTTTCGTGAGGAGGCCCCAAAAATCTCGCCTGGTCATTCAAGTAAGTATATCGGTAATGATTTGAATTTCAAATTTAAGTCAGTACCCTTGGCAGCGTGGTCTTGGAGGCTGTCTCTTGATGTTCTAAGCTTACTGTTCTTTATTGTTGTATTTTTATAGGGATTTGTTTGTTGTTCTAATTGTTGTTGATTTGGTTTGTTTGTTTGGATATTTTCACCAGAAAGGGCATGCCTCGTAAATAACAAGTCAAAAGAAAGAAAAGCGGAGTCATGCTGTGTTGCTATAAGTTTTGATTCTGTTCTAAAATGTTAGTTAGTGTGGCTATTCACATAAAAGCCGCTGGACGGTTCTTATTTGTGGTTCCTTTTTGTTATGCTGTACAAGGTGGTTCCAACATTTGATTATAGTAATGAAATTCTAAAGTGTGACCATTCATATGAAAGCTATTGAGCAGTTCTTTCTTTCTGTACTATTGACGAAATTCAAAAATATGACCATTCAAATGAAAGCTACTGAACAGTACTTTCTTGTAGTACTTTTTTATTATGCGTAACAGGGTATTTCTAACTTAAGAGCGTGCGGACGAAATACTTAAGGGTGACCAATCAAATGTAAGTTGCTGGGCAATACTTTCTTGCGGTTCGGTTTTAAGCATGCATTTTGACCTACTATGAATGTGTGATTTATTTAGGTGTGGGACTGTAACTGGTTCTGGGATACTTTCATGGGCCAGGCCAAAATAAGCATCGACATCAACAACAAAGCTGTTACAGAAACACACAACCTGATGGGCCGCAGACGAAACCATCAAGTCAAGATGCCAGGGGCCGTGACAGTGGAAATAAAATGTTACCACGATCTTATGGCAATCTAAAAATGGCCCAAGGTCTAATGGTTAATTCGCTGGGCACAAGTAACGCTGAGAATTCCTTGTGTGAAAAGGAAAGTTTATTTTGAAGCCTGCGTGGAAAGCGATTGAAAGAGGGGGGGGGGGGGGGGAGATTATTTGGGGGGGGGACACCAGAAAGCGCCCCTCCCGGCCGTTTCTTGTTGTTGGCCGCACACCCCCCCCCCCCAAAACCACCCCAGACACTAGGAAAATATTAATAAAACCTCCCCCTTTTCACCAACATTTTTTTAATCTCTGTTTTCTTGTCGTTTAACATTTCGGTCAAGGCAAAGGGCGGTACAGGGGAACAAAAATGTTACAACGATCTTATGTCAAACTAAAAATGGCACAAGGTTTAATGGTTAATGTGCGGGGGACAAGTGAGGCTGTGGGTTCCTTTTGGGAAAAGGAAAGTTGTTTTTGAAGCCTGGGGGGAAAGCGATTGAAAGGGGGGGGGGGGGGGTGATATATCTGGCGCGGTAGAACTCGATAAGCCTCCTTCGCAGCCGTTCTTTGTGTTGTCACGCAACGCTCCTCTCCAGAAACGAACCGAAGACCTTGATAAATATTATGAAGACATCCTCCTTTTCCATCACAATTGCTTGAATTGCCTGCTTCTGTAATGTGAAAATTCGAGTAAGGAGAACGTTAAATTCTTCTAGCGCGGCCGTTTTGTTTTGCTTTGTTAACCCTACTTGAGATATTAATAAAAGCAAGGCTGTGATTGGAGGAATGGGCCCGGCGTGAATCATTTCCTAAATGGAATCGGAAACCTAATTGGCTTAATGTGTGGAAAAGGATGTGGCTCAGATCTCAGGAGCCGTTTGTTGTGAGGAGCGGTGCGTGACGTCACAAATAACGACAGCGCAGGGGATCAGAACTCGATAGGCGGGGGGGAGGAAGGCGGGGAACGCCCTCTCGCGCGCGCGCCAACTATGGTCCTGCTTTCCTTTTCCCTTTTGATTGCCTGCCACGTGGGCTCTAAGTGTAGTTGTCGCTAATGCTAATGTACGCCATGTTAATACGAGTTTGAATAAGTTCGTAAACGCGTTCATAAACGGACTGTGGAAAAAGCTTTAGGCCATTTGCCAATACTGTACCACTTTTCCTCGTGTCAATAGGCCATTTGTACGATGGCGTCATTTTACTACTACGACCACAATTCATTTCCTTTTCTCCTTTCATATTTATATTTGGTATTCCCATGGAGGTTTAATTATCAAAAGCCCTAATTTACACAAGAAAAAGAAAACCTTGAAAGATTCTGGTCGTAGTAGTAAAATGCCGCCATCATGTAAAAGGCCTATACGGTACCTCAAGCTTAGAATATCTAGCAATAGTTACTGAATGAGGCTGAGTATGGTCTGAAGAATTATACAGATCCAGGAGGCTGTTATCAGTCCCTCTAAGATCTGTATTATTCTTCAGATCACACGAAAGCCGAATTCTAATAATTGTAGTATTAGCCATTCAAAATAATTCGTACATGCCTACCTCGATAGTTATGGGCTCCTGGTTCCCGTCTTTATTTGCCTGTCCCCTGGGCAATTCTGGATATTTAACAGTTATTAAATGAGGCTGAGTATTATCCGGAAAATTATGGAGATCGAGGAGAGTGAAATCCGCTGAGGTCTCCATAATTCTTCAACGAATGCGGTAATTGTTTTATTATTCATTCAAAATAATCCCTAGTTTAAAACAAGCTGAAATATGCTTACCTACATCGATGTTAAGTTCATCTTCGATAGTGCATTTTTATCGGCAAGTTTAGAAGATAAAAGGTTGTTCAGTTCTACAAATATTCTACAAATAGTAGATGTCGTCCATCGAGTTGTCTTCTTTCTGTTTTTGCTATATTTTTAGCCAATAGTTCGCCTATTTCTTCCTCGTGAAACGAGTAAAATGTTCCGCCATTTTGTACTCACTATCAAAACAACTCAACCTCGACCCAGGTTTTTTCGGTTAACTGTTCAATAATCTGGCAATTATGCTGCACGATTGACGTCATTTTTCACAAATCGCAAAATTCTTCCAAATTTGGTCGACAATAGCTGGTTATGCTTGGGATTTTAGCCAATCAGAAATGGAGAAATGTTTTGAATGAATGGTAGAACGAAATGTTTAGTGTAGCGGATATTCGTCAAATAACAGTTGTCACCCGTCAAGTGGTATTTTTGCTGTTCTTGCTTCAGCTATGTCGCTAGGCAGAAGTTGGGCTATTTCTTCTTCGCAAAACTTGTGAGATTTTCAGCCATTTTAAACCTTTTCAAGTGAATACTTCAAGCGTTTGGTGACTCACACTTACAAAGCAAGATCTACAAGCTTATTAAGCAACAATTATAATTATTTACAGTCTTAAATAAGAGTCGTGTTGGTGACACTAATTTTGCAAACATTTTGCAAGATCCACACTTGCACAAGCTGAATAACTAGCAGCTATAATCAGAAGCACATATGGGGTTTTATGCTTCTGCTATAATTTATTAACAGTGTTAATTAAGAGTCATGTTTGTGACATTATTTTGGCAAATATTTTGCTAAATAATATTGTGAAGGATCCAGAATTTCGTAAACTAAGAAAACGGTCACACAAAAAAATGAAGACTGAGAAGAAAAGAAAAAAAAAAAGAATTTTAAAAAGGGGTACTGATAAATTCCGCGGTTAAAGCCTTGTTTTTATGAAATAGATGGGTTGGGGCTAGGATTTTAAATGAAAACAGCGAACCGACTGAAAACGTCCACTGGAGTCTTTAAACTTTGTTTCTGGGTTAAGGGGCTATGTCTCGAGGATATTGCTGCTGCAGGTCAGTTCTTTGCTACAGTCATTGCTTAGTACCTCAACCCATACATAATATGTGCCTGTAGAGTTATGAAGAACACATAAAATAAACTTCATTATGGAGCTCTAACCATTAGAATTTTTGCAGGCATAGCTTTAAAACTTAAAAAAAGAAGAAGGAAGAGTCAATCCATGTCTATTATTGCCATCTGTAGCTGCAGATGACAGGAAACAATTTCAATGTCTAAATACCGTAAAATTCCGAAAATAAGCCCCTCCAAGTATAAGCCCCCCAGGGGGCTTGTACTTGGAAATTGTCCTCAAGTACAAAGTAAAACAAAGAAAAACGGTAAATTTCCTACCAAGAATAAGGCTAGCTTAATCGATTTTTAAACGCATATTTCCGTCCGTACATAAGCCCCTCCAAAAATAAGCCCCTCAAAAAGGGCCTTTGAAAAATATAAGCCCCGGGGCTTATTTTCGGAATTTTACGGTATACTCGTAATTAACAAAACTGGAAAATTATTTTTGCAATGTAATTTATGCGAAGACACGTTTTAACCTTTTGGCTAGTAGTAACCGAAGGTTACGGTTTGCGGGCGACAACGATCGAAGGTCCAACGATGTGCTTTGCGTAAGTTTCACGTGACAGATTGTCAAAACACGAGTGATAGAAAGTCCAAACACGCGTGATCAAATTCCATTCATTCTTAGTGGGAGTTAAACGAATGCTAGCTACATTCATACGACGCATGCGTAATAACAACGTGGAGATAAGGATTGCAGGCTCCTCTTGTCGCCCGCAAAAGGATAGGAAATAGCACGACATAGCTCCATTAACTAGACTAGGTATGAAATAGATCTTACATAAGAAGACAAAATGGCTCACTAAAACTCGTTGACTTTCTCACGAGAGCTATGTACGTCATAAACTCATTGAGACGTTCTATTACGCAGCAGGAACCATTGGTATGAAACAAAGGTATTCTTTCTAGTTTTATTAGGATTTTTGGATTATTTTGATATTATGACATTGGTATCGCAGAATGCTGTGCGTAAACACCGCACGCAGATCTAACAAATTTTGTAGCAAACCTAGCGAGATATATATTTGGCTAGTAAAAAGGAACACTTTAACATGGATTTTGCTATATTGAAACTTTAAATCCTTATCGCAGATCTAATGAATTTTGTAGCAAAACTTTAGTGATATATTTGGCTAGTAAAATTGAGCACTAAACATGGCGTTTGTGTATTGAAACTTGAGTCCTTGAGTTCTTACTTCATTTCTTGCCTGTTTGTTGCCAATGTTTTGATTTTTGTTTTTGTTTTTGTTTTTTTTTTGTTTTTTTACAATGAGGCAGAACTGAAAAAACCAACATGTGAGCAAATTGTTAAACCTCCACTTACATGAATTAGGGGAAGGTAAGGCTGCCCGGAATTTTGATTCCTCACGGAGAAGAAACCGTCATTAAAATTCTTCGATTGCGAGATTCAAAAAGACGTAAGAAAATATCGATCCATGTAAAAAGAAAGGTTGTTCCAAGACAGGCTTGAATTCTGGATTCAACACTTTGGATTCCAGATTATTTCCATTGGAACTTGGATCCCAGAATTCAATCGTAAGTGAAATTTCTTGAGTTGTATTCCAAAGCCCAGGATTCCCGGTTTCCACATTTGTCGGATTCAGGATTCTACAAGCAGAAAATTCAGTTCCCGAATTCTCTTACCTGGGGCGACAAAAAATAAAAACAGTCAAACATCGTAGATGCACCTTTCCACATTACCAGTAAGGGGCGGATCTAGGGGGAGGGTGCAGGGGGTGCGCCCCCCCCCCCCCCTGAGATGACCTTCGGTTTTCTAATACAACTGGTATTCTGCAAAAACTATGTGGTTTATTGGTGTTGAAGTAGAGCAAGAGACGAGTGCACCCCCTCCTAAAAAAATTCTGTATCCGCCCCTGTACCTATACTAAGACAGGATTCTATTCTTTTTTCTTGACCACAACGCAGCAGTTGTCTGTTTTTTTTTTATGAAGACTAGTTTAACTGGTTTAATTCAAGTAACCTGAGATCAGGCCCAATTTCAGCGGTTCTGATACATTCTCTCTAACGGCCACCGCTAAAATTGGGGCTCTCTTTTCGTTTCGCCATGCCCGCCGGAATGTAATTTTCAAAGCGAAACGAAAATAGAGCCTGATCTCAGGTTAAATTCAAATAACCAATACGTAAAAAGCAATTAATCCATCTGTGGCGAATTTCACCGGCCTTCTTACTTTAAGGATAACTCGTTTCATTACGTCTAACTAACGTTACAGGACGGTATTTTGGCCACTGTTGATTTCCCAGTTCTTAATTTGACTATCTTCATCTCAACACAGAAGCTTCACGAACATGTGAATCATGTCTTCCATAACCCTGATTTAACATTGGCGCTTACGATTTATTTAATCAACGTGTCGATTTGTCTTCACACTGTCCATTACCTATACATGTTCCAAGTATTCGAACTCGACCCAGTCCTTAACCGCTCTTACCTTTCCAACTGAATTATTGAAGGGGTATGATTCGTGCATGAAATATGTGGCATGTTTTGGTTTTAACGTCGTTTGTTCACCGCTGAGGCGTGAATTGGGGAACTCGTGAATTGTGCCATCGGGAAAAGTAAAGCTATGGGAAAGCTTCATTATTTCCTGAATCAACGTTACAGCAAACTGAAGTCACATTGCGAAAAAGAAAAAAAGCTGTTCGTGGATCCAGAATTCCCGGCGGAGAACAAATCGCTATTTTTTAGCCGTTCACCGACCGAATCAGTAGAGTGGAAAAGGCCTCAGGTATGTTGAAAGTTTACTGCAACGATCATTTCTGAAGGGCTTGTCAAATGGGGAATTATCGTATATTAAAAAGTTTTCAGAACTTTTTAAACTTGTTCTTAGAGAATCTCCTTGTCAACTGATCGGCAATTGAATATTTTTGTAGACCTGCGTGACTGCAAACAAAGACAAAATGAAAGGTTTTTCTTGCAAATGGAATTAGCATATTAGTAGTTTGCTGTTGCTAAGATATCATTAAACTACCTAACGCAAAAATACTTCGTGATACTTTATAGAACTTTGGCGTCAGGTTCAGTCGATATTTTCAATTGGTTTAATATATGGTTCAAAAACGCTTAGAAGTGCTATCTACCCGTTTCGTTATAACGAGCAGTAAAGTCTGGTTACCACTTCTTAAGAGAGTAAATGATAAATTAAATAAACTAGATATAACCACACCAATAACAAACGATCGACAGGACACGGGTTTTGAATTTTTTTGACAGTTTATTTGCAAAGGACTCCTGATTTTTTTAGAAATGTATATACATGCACGTGTTAACAGATGGTTTGTTTATTATTTGTGCACTGTTTTGTTTATAGAATCAGAGAGATTGTTTTCAGTTTGAAGCTTTAGATCACCTACATGTTTGCGCATATGTTTTTTAATTAATAAGTTGCCACCAAGTCGTTGCATGAGAAAACGCGTTACCGTTGTCGATACTGTTGTCAAAAAAATATTTCATTCCCAGTCAATTTTAGACTGCCGGGAATCTTCAGCAAAAATTGATGCGATTATTATTATGTTTAACAATGATTATTATACATGTATTCTACCGGTGCGTGATGAATTCAGACTGTCTGTCTGAATAACGCAAACAACTAATATTCTCGGTGAAGCACGGAAATCTTGTACTGAACTCGCCAGGCAAATTCCCTGTTATTTCCCTTCGATTCCGGCTATTGACTCTGAGGGGATGGGGGGGGGGGGTATGTCCCTCTAAACAAGGAATGTTTTCTTTCTTTCGACAGGTGTTTTGGCATCATTGCATAAAAATTAAATTAAATTGCTTAACTCAATTTGGAATTAACTACTAAAATGCGGTAGGATCTAGCTTTTTTGGATGCTTCCTCGGATTGTACAGGATTGGGTATTTTGGAAACTCCAGTCGAGAATATATCACTAAATCGTTCAGTGAAACGAATTGGGGCGATGATTCTTTTCTTTTACTTTAATTTCTGACAAATCGTCGACTTTATGAAAAACGCCCCATTGAGTTGGTTATGATTTCGCTCCATGCAAGGGAATCCTAGACAGTCTGGGATTCTGGATTCCACGTCGTGGACTCCGGATTCCTTGAGCTGGATTCCGAATTCCTTGAGCTGGATTCCGGATTCCATGAGATGGATTCCGAATTCTTTGAGCTAGATTCCAAATTCCTTGAGCTGGATTCCGAATTCCTTGAGCTGGATTCCGGATTCCTTGAGCTGGATTCCAAATTCCTTCAGCTGGATTCCGAATTCCTTGAGCTGGATTCCGGATTCCTTGAGTTGGATTCCGGATTCCTTGAGTTTGATTCCGAATTCAAAAACCCAGGATTCCGGATTCCACGAGCAAACATTTCCCTGTTTTCGGAATCCCGATTCCCTTAATTGGGGCGATTTGGTTTGAACTGGCGTTTATTCATCTTAAGAAACGGAACAAAAAGGGCAATTAAAAAAAAAAAAAAAAGATATGCATGAAATGTTACCAATATCTCTTAAACTATAGAGGATAATGAGTTGGATTTGTACTGTGCATGACTTAAACCCATTTTATGAAATTCGCGAATCAAATCGAACAATTCAAGTTCTTCAGTTTTATGTGCACTGTATTTCGGCAAAGTATCATAGCGTCTGGTTACATACTTATGAAGGAGAAACTTTTAGGAGTTTTTTTTTAATTGGCCATTAGAGAGCCACGTGACTGGTAACCGTAGAAACGCTCAATCTAACCTATTCTTGGAATCAATTATTGTTGCTTGTATTAATTTCAGTAACATATCTTTAAAGGAGGCAAAGATATAGCCCCAAAGAATAAAAAAACAAATAATAAATAAAATACTTTACCTATCACGCCCCCACGGAATCTGTTGGCTGCTCAGTTTGTATGTCTTTCCACAGGAAATCTGTGGACCCGATTCTCCTCGCTTATTTGTCGACGGAATGAGCACCCATGACATCACGCAAGGCCGGCTAGGTAATTGTTGGTTTGTTGCGTCGTGTTCAACACTGGCGTTAGAATCATCGCTTCTGGAGAAGGTATGATGAACAAACCGTTTATTATAATTGGTCATTCTTTTCTAGCCAAGAACTCAAGATTTCGCTTGTTTTCAAGTCAAGTGAAATCTGCAAGGCAACGACTACAACAGTACGGTTCGATTTATACCAGCCGCTGTCGAGTAAATCACATGCAAAAGGAATTGAGCCCGCCCTTATGCTTATGACCGGACACTGCAGAAGGACGGAATAGAGTCTTGTACCCAGGCGCAACTTTCGGGTGGAAACAGAACAGAGAACACAGTTGGGCATCGCTGGGTTCATTGGATCCTTCGATCCCAAGACCCAACGTCGTCTGACGAGAAAAGACTCTGCGACGAGGCATATTTAAAATTCTGATTGACATACATTTTTTCTTTCGTAATGTGGGAAACGATTATTATAAAACCCTAGTGTCTTTCTTCATGTAGTATGAGGCTAAATCGTCTTTAACTCCTGCCTACTCAATGTGGTTTTCTTCAACACCGTCTTATCTCTGTTTAATAACCGGCCCATGTAAGCTTTTTTTACCTTCCCGTCATTCTCACAATTGCCCCAGACGACAGTCCTAGTGTCATGCCTCACAAAACCGAGCTTGACTCACCTGTCTTTTTGCTACTTCAAGGTTATTCCCGATCTTAAGGAGCAGGAGTGGAATGCGGAAGAAGTCGGCAAATACCAAGGAATATTTAAGTTCCGGTTCTGGCGGAAGGGTCAGTGGACGGAAGTGGTGGTTGACGACTTTCTTCCGACAATTAACGGACAGCTGGTTTATATTCACTCCAAGCAGAGGAATGAATTCTGGGGATCGTTACTAGAGAAGGCCTATGCAAAGTACGTTTAATTGTTTGTTTTTACTGAATAGTATTTCTTACAATTTTAGTTTTATACTTAATATTTCTATTTAACCTCCAACCTTTTAAAAGACCCCTTCTAATAGCACCTAGTCTGAGGTCCAGAAAATAAATAGGCCCCAGGCCTCTATTGTAATCGGCGGCTCAACTTTGAGGGGAACTTAAATCTAACGAGCATTATATAAGCACTACAACTGTGCGAAACTATTGAAGAAATGCCCTTATTTTGGAAGCTAATTAAAATTGCTTCGATCATCATGAGTTTTAGCCTGTTCACAGGCCCTCAATTTTCTCTTCAAAGTCCGTCGAGCGCGCGTGATAAAATATAAACCGCGGGAGATTTATTGACCGCCAGCGCAAGGTTTTCTTTGTCGCACTCCACGCTCGTTCTCGCGCGCTCGCATCGCTCGCAAGCTCGCCGATGTTTTTGAACAGAACGAAAAGAAAAATAAAACAACGTCTGTTTACAGGCTACATGAGTTTGTTCAAAGGTGTGATGCAATTTACTCACTGGAAGATGTAAAAACTGTAAAATAATAATTGGCGTTACTTTTATTACACCCATCAATATTTTCATAAGGAAATACATGTAGTCAAAATTAAATAGCAGAAAAGAAGAATTCTAAAAAAAATCCTATGAATTTAACAAACCCGCAGAACACTTTAAAGCAGTTTTTTTAAAATAAAAAATAAGTCTTCAGTTTTGAATCACTAGGAAATAAGGAAACTCCGGCGAAAATACGACGTACGTACCGTTTTTTTCTTTGTATACTATCGCTTGTCTAAGTCTCTCACGGTGAGGCGTTCTTCTTTGCCTTCGCGCGACACGCCAGCATTTCGGCGACATACAAACAAGGCGTGCTGATTTATGAAGCCTAGCCTAATGACAAGACTTTCACTACCCGTGCTATACCTGGGTGAGCGACATACGTAATCTAACTTCTCTGAATTTCTTAATTGCACTTTCAGATTAAACGGAAGCTACGAGGCATTGGAAGCAGGCAACATTGCAGATGCGCTGGTTGATTTTACGGGAGGAGTGTGCGAGTCTACTAACCTTCAAGAGACGGCCTTTATCCAAGATGAGGACAGCAGATTAGCTTATTTCAAATCTATGCAAAAAGCTATGGGGCAGAGGTCCTTGATTGGCGCTTCTATATCGGTATTTTACCTTTTGCAACCCGTATTACTTACAATTCCTCCGATTTATAACACGGTCGAACCCCCTGTTGAATGAATGCCCAAAATGCCATCATTCATCGGTCGCTTTGGAGAGGCAGTCGATCACTTATAGCCTGCGTCAAGGCTCCCAAGTGGAGCAAGGCGAAAAAGAAAGTCGGCGAGCGAAGCAAGCCGAGCGTGGCCTGGGGAAGAAAAAAAGGTGGGGGAACCTGTAGACTTTGCTTTGATATCGCCCATCCTGGTATCATGATCTGATCGGCTGGTTTCCTAATCACGCGCGCACTAACGTTGTTAAAGCCGATGCATTCAAGCGTAAAAAAAAAACATAATTTGACAGGTCTAATTACCTTGCCCATTGACATGTTACTGACGTATGTGTTACAGGATAATTGCAAGTGGAAGGATGGGTAGCATCAAAACAAAGTCTACAGGCTCCCCTGCCTTTTTTCATCCCAAGGCCACACTCGGCTCTCTTCGCTCGCCGATTTTCTTTTTCATCCTGCTTCACTTGGGAGCCTGTTCGCAGGCTAATCACTTCACCCTCAACTACTTTAACTACTTTGTCGAAAATGCGGTTTATTTGCATGTAGTGTCTGAGTTATCATAGGAGCAGTGCCACTAAACATGCCTCGTATACTGTGAGTGGCGCACAGCGAACTAGACAGAAATGGATATTAGAAATAAGACGACGCAATGAAAGAACAAAACCCAGTACTTTTATCGATCTTTCTTCGGCTTAACATTTATTCAGTTTTTAACCGGTAGGAAACACCTGCTTGGCTCTTACTGTTTTTATCAGAAATACTCGGTGTACTACTTAGCATACCCTTTTGATTTTCTAGGTGAAGAACAGAGAAGACATGGAAAGACGCACAGAGACTGGCTTAGTAATGGGGCATGCATATGGTGTCACTGCGATAGAGAAGGTACACTTGGGCACTTAATCCTTCCTCTCCAAATAGTGGTCAAGTGGACGAAAAAATCAAATTTCTTTTCTGCAGAGTCCTAAGCAATAAATAGTAAAACCCAAAATTTCTGCCAAGAATATTACATTTGAAGAGCAATTTCCTTTATCTCCATTACTTCCCCGTGTTATGTATACTGTAAACGGCAATTTAAAGTTGCTACTTAAAGTTAGACAGAATAGAATAAAGTAGTCGAAACAACGATTTAAGTTGACACCTGGGAAGCGAACTCGAGTGCCGCGCACCTGCCGACTAGGTGTGTTAGTGCTTGCTCCTTGATTCTCCTCACTAGCATTCATTGTCTGTTTTGAGCTTAGGTCACTACTGGCGATGGCTTGTTTAACCTATTTAACCGGGAACATTTGTACTTGATACGGCTGAGAAATCCCTGGGGACACAAGGAATGGAATGGCCCTTGGAGTGATGGGTAAATGAGGAGCGTGTTTTACATGCCATCATACATAAGCATTAATAAACACTTAATGACTGGTCGCGAGGGAAACAGTTGATTTTTTTTCTCGTGGGAACATTGAGATTCGCGGGAAACAACATTAACTGTTTCCCAATGGACCAGTCTTTAAGTAATTTTTTATATAGCTGGAAATTTTGAAGCTGGGAATTCATTAAAGCTCGCTGTAATGACGGTCGTCGCTCAACATTCGTGGGTAACAGTGCACTGTTACCTCTGACGTTATAGATTTACAATGTTGCCCACTCAGAGATTTTGGCGGGAAACAGTTTCATTGTCAGATGTCATGTGACCTCGAAGTAACCAACGAGAACCCGCGCTGTTGAGAAAAAAAATTCCAACAATTAACAATTAAAGTTATTGCACGCTAAAATAGAGAGTAGAGTTCCCCTTAGCCTCTTTACCCGAGCGAGGCCTGGTGCACCACCAGTCATATGAAATGAGGCAGCTTGAATTGCGTGTGAATAAAAACTTAGGATACGGTTCTTTCGGGCCTCCAAAAATAGATGTTTTCCCCTTAATAGCCCTTAAAAAGATCATAAATCCGAAAAATCCACACTCCTAGTTGACTGCCGTGAAACCTAAATCCAGGATTTTAGGCTTTTTGAAAATGTTAAAATGGCTAACCTGTTATCCCCGCCATTTTGCCAGCGCATTAAAAGAATCCATTTTGAAATTTTCTTTTCGCGGAAAAAAGAAAATCAATTTTTTTTTTAAAGAAACATTAGCAAAAGGACGGGCACCTTGGTCTGGTGGAGAGCAGAGTAAAACTGAAATTCGGAAATACCCACTTCCATGAAAAGTGAATCGATAGGGCTTGTGCAGTTTAATTCCGCAGCCTTTGAAAGTTTCTCTTTACAGGAAGTTTAAACAATGACTCAACAATTGTTAGGCGAAACTGACAAGTTTTTCTTATAAAGGTTATTGATTTATTTCTGTTTATTTTGTTATAGATCAGCGGAATGGAAAAACCTCGACGACGATCAAAGAGAAAATCTTGGAATCAAAGTGGACGATGACGGAGAGTTTTGGTTAGCTAATGTCTAAAAATGACATTTGTTTTTTTTGCTTCAGTGTACATTGCATTTTGATTTTGTTTGAGAAAGTTTGTGTTACTTAGTTAGAGTCATGTCTGCCATCACCCTGGCTTACCATTTCCAACGACAATACTTTCAGTATTTTAAATCAGTCACTATAATATCAGCCTGTGTATTGCGCTTCGCTGTGAAAGAAAATGAGGGATCTTAAGCAAAGGCGTTTTTGAGCGACGCACGACAACCGCAAGAGAAATTTTTTGCCATTTGAATATGCCTTTAAACTACCAAATAATAATTTCTTTACTCATAAAACCACTACCCAATAATGTAAAATATTCGCTGACTTCTCGCTGAAGTGCGTCGCTTAGAAACGTCTCTGGGATCAATGTAGGTTTCTAGGAAGCTGCCCACCTACCCCTTCCCTAAGCTAACATTAACACTTACTTCTCACTAAGGGCAAAATGATGGCTTAGGGACGGGTAGGTGGGCAGTTTCCCAGAACCTAAATTGATCCCGTCCTTGCTTAAGCTCCCCGTTGTACTTGCTCTACCAGTCACGGGTTACACTGTGTTGACAGTGTTATTTATTTGTTATCTTTTCCTTCCTTTTTACTTCCATAAAAGGATGACCTTTGAAGATTTTTGTCGTCACTTTACCAAGGCTACGATGTGCCATTTGATGAACACGTCAAGATTCTCGTTTTCTAAGCGATGGCATCTCTTTAAACACAACAACGAGTGGAAGCCTGGAATATCGGCAGGCGGATGCGTTACAAACCAAGATACTTTTCTTCAGAACCCACAGGTACAAGAAGCTACGACGCTTAACCATTCCAATAAATACTTTCAACGGATATCTATGCGATCTCATAAAGGAATTCCTCATTTTTCAGCGCAGAAAGGATTAACGCTTTGCCGTCAATGTGTCTTATAAAGGTCCATTTCCCTAAATCTTCATTGTGATTTTTTTTCTTTGCCGGGCCCGCCTAATCATAAAAAAATATTTATTATAATCAAAGTGAGCTGCCAGCTCAATAACCTGCCCCCGGGACTGATAAGCTCCTGCTTTAATAAGTCACTTGTTGGGCATAAGGAAAATAAATAATAAATAAATAAATAAATAAACAGAAAAATAAGCTACCGTCCGTAGCCGGCGCCACAGACGAAACTAAACTCTCGTCAAGTCCGTCTTCGAAACAGCGCCGAAATACTTGTTCTTTGCCCCCATCCGTGTACCAGGATTTGATCTGGCGCCATGACTGGCCTGTTAATTAAAAATCCCATTGTGGATTTACCAATCAAGATGAAAGAAAATTCGAAACGTACTATAGGCAATTCGTTGAGTCCGTGGGGGGCCCAGGACAAGGGTATGGGCGCTGCTTCGCAGACGTTACTAACCGAGGTTAAATTACGTTTGCGACGCAGGCTAACCGTCCGCGGACTTGTAGTCTTTGGAGAGATTAAGAATCAGTTTTACATCAAACGCAATTGTCAAATTTGGCCATGTGACTAAGTATTTCTTTTACTTGTCGTTTACTGTTCATTATATTTACATTACAAATTTCTTTGTACATCGGGATAATCCATAAGTATCATTTTGGACAGTTTTTATCTATTCATTTCCTTGAGTCGCCTTGAGACTAGCGTTTGACGTAAACCTAATTTCAAATCTCTCTGTTGTCTCAATGACAAGTAAATTCTACATTTTAATAACCTTCCTCTTCAAAGCGGACACTTATTCAAGTCCCAAAGCGTCCGCTTACAGGTGGGTGGGGCGGGGGGGGGGGGGGTGGGGTGTAGGGATTGCAGTCCTAGGTGTTTTTTTTTCTTTTTGTGAGCTTTTAGTGTTAAAGCCCAAGAGGATGGGAAAGTCGTGTTTTTTCTTTTGCACGAAGACACCAGGATCGAGAGGGGTGGGGGGGGAAAGAATTCAAACAGAGAGTACATTGTCATAGAAGAGGACTCAAAAAGAGATTTTGAAAAAAAGAAAGAGGACGGACGGACGGACGGACGGACGGATGGATGTGGTGCACTAGTCAAAACCGCAGGAGCAATTTGTACACTACGAGTTGAAGAGGAAGATAGAACAGGTTACGTTTTGAGCGCCAGCCGCTCGTGTGATGAAGTGCTACAACCTTGGACAAAAAGGATTAAGACATTTTGCACTTTCTTACCTACAGAAAGCCTATCCCGCTGATTTGGTACCACTAAGGCCCCTCCCTTCGTCCCACCCCGGTCAATGTTGTTAAGCCGGGGTGAGAAATGGTCCAGTCGGACTTCAACATTTCTTCGGGGGGGAGGAGCATTTTTAGTTGTTTCAAGTGCTTTCAATAAGCCCTTTGAAGCTAGCCAATCACGTGGTACAAAGCCACTCACGCTGGAGAGCAAGAGTCGCACTGGGACAAGACAAACAAAAGACATACATAATTTGAAATGGTAATTTTCTTTGTTTGTCTTGTCCCAGTGCGACTTTTGCTCTCCAGCACGGCGGTTTGTACCACCTGAATGGCTAGCTGCAAAGGGCCTATAGCTTTATCTTGAAACTAGACATGGTAACGTCCATTTTTCAAAACATTTTGTCCAAGATTGTAGTGGTCGAAACGTCACCTTCTCTGTCTCCCTACAGCGACCAGTCTGCCTTATCAACTCAATTGACTGACGCCAACCTTTTTCTCTCAGCCACAGATGTAGCACCACAGTTTCTTTGTAAAATATTCCCTTCGTTCAATTTTATACATTAGCCAGATCAGCGTAAAAGAAAAATCCTTTTTTTTTTAATTTAAGAATCTGGATTGCGATGGCCCCCAAGAAGTGCACCCTTAAATCCATCCAAAACTCCCTTGAAAAAATCTTGCAGTTTATCATATGACGATCTTCCCTCAGCGTGCGAATTCAAACGAGCCAACTTCACTTACAAAGGAACACTGATTATTCATTGATTGTGAATCGAATTATCTTATATACAGTATACAATAATTATGCATCATGAAAGTCATACCACCCTTATGAGGGAAATGAAGTCAAACATCAACGTTTGCGCTTGATTTTCCTGGATATGATACTGAATTTTTTTATAAAAACTATTCCTGGCTTACTTTCCTATTTTTCATTTAGGTTGAAGAAAATCGAACTTATCGTATACACACGATGTTTGAAAAGGCTGGTGACTCTATTTTTATAAATATGCGTGAAGTGGTTAACAGATATCAACTGAAGAAAGGGAGATATGTAATTGTACCATCAACGTACGATCCAAACGAAGCCGGAAAATTTATGATAAGAATATACACTGAGGAGTCTTCTGATGCCATGTAAGTAATATAAACATATTATACAGATATGAAATATTGAAGATATAATGAACGTACAACAGTGTACTGGTGGTTACAAGAAATTCTCATCACAAACAGAGCACTTGAAAAGAAAACTTCTGTTCCTCTTCTACTCTCGCAGTGGGCGTTTCTCGAATTCAAACGGTCGCAATAAATGATTAAACCCAGAAGGCTATTTTATGAGGGTAAAGTTTACGTGGAAATGTCAATTTTGTTTTTCACTCCCGTTATCACACATGCACACAATTTCAGATGGCCTTCTTTCTAAAACTTGAATTCTTTGCTTTTATTTATCGTTATCTTAATCCTGATCTTGCTTTATCCTGTTTTAATCTTTATCTTCGTCTTTATCCTCAACTCATCTTCATCTTTATCATACTCATTATCGTTGTCGCCATCGTTATCGTTACCGTTATCGCTATCATTCTCGTTATCGTTATCGTTACCGTTTTAGTTATCGTCTTTTTTATCGTTACCGTTATCGTTATCATTCTCGTTATCGTTGTTGTTATCGTTGTCGCCATCGTTATCGTGACCGTTGCCATTTTCGTTATCGTCTTCTTTATCGTTACCGTTATCTTTATCATTCTCGTTATCGTTGTCGCCTTCGTTATCGTTACCGTTTTCGTTATCGTTACCGTTATCGTTATCGTTGTCGCCATCGTTATCGTTACCGTTACCATTTTCTTTACCGTCTTCTTTATCGTTACCGTTATCGTTATCATTATCGTTTATCTTTATCGTTATCATTAACATTATTTAACAATTACTCCTCGAGCCTTCGGCCTCGTGGGCTATTGCTTTTTTGATTCAGAGGCCAGGGGGGCGAGAGGAATAACTGTTTTAGTAAAATCCAACTAGTTGGTCAAAAACATCGAGACAAAACAACTTTAGCTAGCAAAACGCGATTCAACTGACATTGCTTTTTGGTTTTCAAAGCAAGCGCTTTTCGCTACTAGTGGGCTATAACATATAGCCTAGTTGTAGCTCAACCAATCAGAATGCAGCATTGTTAATAGACTACTAGTTGGATTTTACTAATATTTTATATTAGAAGGTATTAGGAACTCTAAAAAGAATTTTGACCGCACACCGGCTTATCAGTGGTTCGAACGGGTACGACAATGCTCGTTTGATATCAGGACTTTCGAGAAACTGGCCCCTGCCCTGATCTAGCATTTCTGTCAAAATCAAAATAGATTTTCATTACTCAAAGGTCGTTGATTTTATCCTCTCTTATTCTCTAAAACTCTTATATTTGTTGAAAATTAAACCCAGGCTTCTGGAGAAGGATCATCCAACAGCAAGCAAGATCTGTTGCTGCATCCCTCGAATGCGTTCGCCCGTGTGTGTATTGTCAGTACTGGTCAAGTCTGCTAATGGTATCAAGAAGAGATCCCCGATATTAAGTAAGAATATACAACGTTTTAATAACCTTTTTGAGACGTTACACATCCCTCAGTAAAACCATCTCACAAACATTTAACATACCCAATTTTGATGGAATTTGGAATGCACTGCAAAAGTATTCACAGGATGAGCGAACGCTCAGTTAAATTCCCACGTGTTTTGTCACCGCCTTTGATTCCGAAAGCAGAGAACAGGAAGCTTGAGCAGACTGAAAGCGCGGGAATGAAGCTAGACAACGGCTATACTAAATATCTGTTTTTTTTAACTGGAAAGGAAAACCCCAACAACACAATCGGCGACAAAATCGTTGAGACACCGTCCTCTAATGCAGTAGATTCGGAGAACAAAACATCCACACCCCTCCCTCCCCTCCATTAAAATTTAGGGTGTTTGTTGCTTCCTACAGGCAGCTCGAACAGCGGCACAGCATTGCATGGAGGGGCTTGGAGAGGGTAAGCTCCATTTTTCCCTTTTGAAGTCAGCAAAACGTTAGCCAGGCCCAATTAGAGAAATGTGTCTCAACTTATTTTTTGCCATCGACAGCTCCAAGTGTTTACATATTATAACACAGAAACTGTGTCTATCCGAAATATTTCAGTTCATTCTTGTTATTTGGTTAAAGGTCTTGATCCTTATGCTCTGGTCACATGTGAAGGAAAAACAGTTAGAACACCAACACTCAGCGACACTGCTAATCCTGAATGGAACTCTGGTGCCTTATTTTTTGTCAGAAGGCCAAAGAAAACGCACCTTGTGATACAGGTACTACTGACCTAATAAATGGTGCCTTCTATACTATTTTCCAAGATACTGTCGTTGTTTTTACCAATAGTAGGAGAAGAGACTTTTGAATCCTAAGACAAGGACGACTTTTTTCTTAATACTAAGTAGAGCGCACACGTAAACTAGCGTCTTTGTTTGCGGAAAATGCGATAGCCATCATCATTCTATAACGGGTTTTTACGAAAACGTCCTGTAACAGAAACAAGTTATCAACGGTTAGAATTAGAAGTCTTCAAAGAATTCCACCTAGTTAATGAGCTATAGTCAGTAGATTTAAGAAGTATTTATTAGAACCTAAAAATGTTAAAACACTTTCGATCATCGAACTACATCTGTGATGCCAAAACAAATAGAAAATATCGTTAACAGTTATTTATTTCTCGATTTATTTATTTATTTATTTATTTTTTTTATGTAACTCCTAGAAGGAAACAAATTCATTAAGTCATTTGAAATGGCCGTTTACTTTTCAGATCTGGGATAGCAATGTGTTTTGCGATTCCTTCCTGGGTCAGGCAAAAATGACAGTTGATGTCAACAACAGGACTGTGGTACTGTCGCATCAACTGATGGGCAGAAGACGGAAGGAAAACGAAAAAATGCCTGGTGATGTAACCTTGGAAATTGCATGCTATGAGGACCTCTTAGCTGTGTAGCCATCTAAGGGGCTATGAGGCCCTTTATCCTTTATCATCTCATACCCCGGCCCGCACCAATTATCAGTGTGACACTGCTGACTCGCAATTCAGCTGCACTCACTAACGTGACCAGCTACACATTGCCCGACGAGGGACAAGAGGAACTGACTACTCACGTGATCCAATTCAAGCACCTCGGCGCGCGCCTCCTACAGATAATACAAAAACACACCACTTGCAAGTGGTGTCTGCTGTATTACAGCAGTGATACGATAACGTTTCAAAGTTATTAAACCCCAACAGTAGGAGAAAAAATTTAAAGTCGTTAGTCGTGAGTTTTGTTAATTCCAAACTGACGATAACAGATGCGTCTGCAGCGCCAAAATCACTCGTTTCTGCCATTGTTATACTGCTTTCACCAAACATCACGTTGACAGCCCACTGCAATGACTCACTGATACGCGGAAATTTCCTTCCGTTTCTCCCAGTCGCCTGCAGCTGTCATTCTGCCTCCGTCCTTGCCTGGTTCCTCAACCAATGTATTGAATTCTTTTGTTCGATGGCGACTACTGGAAGTATCATAACATACAATCACAGTTCATTTCCACTCAGTAAGCTTAATCGTACCATACATGTAATACGCACTGTCCGCTTTGCCGTTGCCTGGCTGGAAGTATCTCGTCTCAGCAACTGTTCGGCCCAAATCCAAGTCGCTTTTCTTCCTTGCGCTGATATTCTTCCTTGGGGTTTCTTCACGTGTAAGAGAGGTGGGCTCTGATCATAAACTACAGGTTTCTAGAATATACAGAAAATTCAGATGACTCTCTACAACTATGTATGTCTGATCACGCTACAGTTTAAAGTCTTTGTTTGCAGAAACTCTTGAATCCTTATCTATCTTTTCAAGAACGTTTTCTGCATCTTCTTGCCATGCAGGCTGATTCGTGATAGAAGGCATTTCTTCCACATTTGTGTACAAGCTTGGTTCGTACTTGTCCAGATCAACATAATGCTAAAACAATAATGCGAAAAAATAGCTTTTAGGTATTGTAAAACGTGGTATCTGTAATTTATATTGTTGTTAATTAAATATTAGTTTTAACTCTTTGCGACCATATCATATTGGTTTTAGCTACAAAGGGTGAAATACATGTAAAAAGCAGAGAATGATTAGAAACAATCTCGCCGATGATTTTTGAAAACCATCTGCATCTTGTTCAAAACGAATCAGAGTTAATACTGCAAATCAACAGCCATTCGAACGAGATCGATGTAACTAATATTACAAGTTAACGACAATAATAGCCACCCTGCCAGTAGAGTCTTTCTTTCGCTTGCTTGATTTTAGCGTACTGGAGAAAGACTCTGAATGAATCTAGTGCGATCTTTGTTGAGCATTCGCGGCATATTGCTAACCAAGAACTAGTACCCGTGCGTTTGGTTCAGCGGGCGTATTAACGACCATCGTTTTATCAATAAACGGATGCTGGCAATTGAAAAAAAAACAGTTTCACGAGAGAAAGCTAGATTGACTAGTCCAGAAGGTAGGATAATAGCAAGATAGATTGTCAAGAATGGAAGAATGAAAATATTTACCTCTTCCTTAAGGAATTCAGTTATCGTTTCATGAAGCCTTTCAAATGTTGGGCGATTGTTGGGATCCTCGTCCCAGCATTCTAACATTATCTGGTATCTGCAAATTGAAAAAAAAAAAAAATTCCGCGCTCTGGTGAGTTTTGCAGAACGAAATTTATTTGATTGGTTGATATTTTGTTTTGTGCAATAAGTACAAATCACTTTTGCCGATATCAATACAATGGACGCCAATAGAAGTGTTAGAATGCGTTCTAGCTCAGCTGTTTTTATTAGAGCTGAAGATTTCACGTTTTGAAAAGAAAAATGGCCAAACTTAAAGCTAAAATCATGACAAGTATTAAGAAAATATGGAAGCGTTTGTGGCCAAGCGGTTAACACCTCGGACAGCGGATCTGGAGATCTGGAGTTCAAGCCTCGCCCGTCGTGTTGTTTCCTTAGACAAGGAACTCTACTCCACTCTGCCTCGATTCACCCAGGTGTATAAATGGGTACCGGCGAAATACTGCTGGGAGGTAACACTGCGATAGGCTGGCATCCTGTATGGGGGGCGAGTGGCAATGCTCCTAGGCATGCTTCACACTAAGGAAACCGGGATAAACTCCGGCCGTTTGGGTCTTTTGCTCGTGTGGCGCGCCTTTCACCTCTTTATCTTACCTATTTAGAAAATATCACTTGACGGACGACAACCTTTGTTTAAAGTGAAACTGTCGAGAAGCAGGCAAATAGTATGAAGACGGGAACCTTACGTAGATCGAGGTAGGCAAGTTTTAATTTACGTCTGAAATAGTTGAGTGAATAATAAAACAGTCAGTGAACTAGGCCTTCTTATGATCTGAAGAATTGTGCAGATCTCGGAGAATGTTTCCCGCCTCAGTCCTCGGCCACGTCGGAAAAGTGACCCTCCATAATTCTTCATATCATTCGAAAGCCGCAACTATTATTGCTATATAGAAATTCTTGTTTTCTTACAGCTCCTCGCTGATATGTTCTGGCTGACTCATGCGGTGTTTATTGACTTTAATCTCATAAACCACTTTCCATTCATTCCAATGAGGATATGGGGTTCCTCCTACAGGGAAAAAAAGGATAAAATAATAATTAGTGATTATTAGAGAGGCCCGGTTATGATATGAAAACTATGCAGACCGGCCGAAGGAGCCGAACTATACAGTTTCTGTCCTGATGCAGAGAAGATTGCTAGTTTTTGTGGAGCTGGGATGCTCATAGTACTCATGTGTCAAATTTGACGTCATAATAATTTGATAGAGGTATTAATTCCAACACCATGAAAATTCTAACAAAGTCACAAACAGTTATTGAAAGTATAACTCAAAACTATGTGCCAAGAAAATGGCTAGCGAGATACGTACCTAAGGTAAAGATCTCGTACAGAACAACTCCATAAGACCAGCTGTTGATATAATTTTGCATAATCATTCATTAATAATAAGAACTTATGTTGGACATGTATTCCTATATTATACTACTACAATTATACTTTCTTTGCTATTATCGTTGTCTAAGTACCAAGTTATAAACAAGATTTGAAGAGAAGAAAGGTTTTATATTAACTACCTTAAACTCTACTCTCCTATTTTCTGGCAAACTCTTGCAAACTCTTGCGCTTTCATATTTTTTTCTGGAACGATGAAAACACTTTTTCACCACTCACTTATTTAAAATATTAGCGTAATATTGTTCTTGTATTGTTTGTTTGTTTTTAAAGAAGGCAGTACAAAACGTGTTCTCATCATATTTCACCCTGACATTTTAAAAAAGTTAAAATCTTTTTGTTGATCTCTGACAAGGAGTATCAACAGGCTAAAACTTACACGTCGCTTTTTTCTGATACTCTCACGTCCTTGTCCTGTGCGTCATTAAACAAATGTTCAGGAGCAGTCCATTTGATTGGAAGTCTTCCCTGTCACGTTTGAAACCAAATGACGTTAAAGCTCAACAGTTATTAACTGGAAAAGCATTAAATGCCACCCTTTGGGACAGTCGATATACACACTTTTAAAGGTTTTCCATCCTTTGTAGTGTATGTCGTATTTGACCTTTCTGGTCTGCAATTAAAGGTCTGAAAAACAGTAAGACTTGTACCCTCTGGGTGGAAAAATAAGTGGACATAGTACAGTTGCTATTGTTGTCACTTTTTGTTATAATTAATTTCTTAATTAAGGAATTTTGAATAGAATGTGGGAGTTGAAAACTCGCCTCCAAATCTCTGGTGACTCAAAGTAAAGCATTTTCTAGAAACTTGAAACACGTATCAGCCGAGTGTGTATCGTGCGAAAAAGTGGTATGAAATAGGGATGCAATTTCAATTTCGGTACAGGCCTGAAATAGAATAGAGCAAAACAATAAATAAATTTCATCTCAAGTTGAATAGGGTTTGGCTCACGAAGCAAGCCGCAACTCCACCAAAAGTTTCCAGCAGTAACTCCCCGGAAGAGGCTGCACGGCCAAAGTAAAACTGTACATAGCGGTGCTTTGATAATTACCTTTCGTATTGCAGTGCAGTAAAGATACTGATATTTGTCTCTTATGAGAGACAGTCCAAAGTCTGTGATTTTACAGATCCTTCCTACGCCTACTAAAACATTGCGAGCTGCAAGGTCTCGGTGAAGGATCTAGCAATAGTATCAAAAATGATCATTATTGTTACCATCATCATCGTCACCATCTTCATTATTACCAGATATAGACAACAAACACCAAAAAGTCAAAGCAAAAGTCGTAAATCAGAGTTATCCATAATATAGAGTTTGGGAGAGTATAAACTTTAGATTTTGTATCTTTTTGGCTAAGAGAACTGTCGCATGATTACAGTGTAAATCATGTTAGTAGGCCTCTACTAGAAAGAATAGGCAAATTTATTAGAACCCTTCCTTTGGCTAGATGAAACACAACCTTAAAACATTGCAGAAGTAATCCGTATTGTCTTTCACGGATGATAAAAAAAAAAACATGAGAGGCACATAAGGAAAACTTAAGGCAATATTCGTAATGTCGCGAGAGTAGGACAGAAAAAATGGGATTCCCCGAGAGAATTGAAACATGGCATTCCATGGCTCAAACCCTGAGCTACTGCAAGGAAAGTCATGGCAACCTGGCTCCATATCAACCAAGATTACCTTTTCCATTCGTATCCCACAGGGTTCTGTCTTGAGTCGACGCCTCTTTTTTTGTTTAGACGATATTCACCTTTGTCCCAATAAATAATTTTTTTCCTTTCTGGGCACATAACTTCCCTATTGCAATGACTTACTCCTGCCCACGTCAATTGCTTCCTGTGTCTCAAATAGTAAAATTTGTGACAATTGGCAAATATTGCGCCTAGTGAATAAATGAGGAAGATTGATACATTCTTTATAATCCCAAAAACGGGAACAAAGAAAGAAACTGAGAGGCATTAACCTTTTTAGAAGCCAGAAAGCTCATTCCCGAAGCAATCTGCTGAGCAAAAGAAAGCAAATCATATGACGTCACTTCCTGTTGGCAGCTCTCTGGGCAGTTGTAGTACTTATCTTCCATTCCTCGGCTTTTTCTCAAGTAGCCTAGCAAATCCCCGTATGGTACATATTCCAAGATTAACATCATAGGAGCTAGAAACAAGAAAAGTTATCTATAGTTGGTGAAGCATACGTTTAACATATACAAATGAGATACTCTCTATACCTCTTTATAAATTAACTACTTAACTACAACTTTTATCTATCGACCACCTCTATCAACCAAACACAAATTGACCTCGTCTATGTTCTTCGATGATTTCAGTAGGCTTATTGAAGAGCTATCCATTTCACAGATAAGCTGTCTAATTTGTGGCGATTTCAACTTCCACATGGAGGCGTGTAACCCCGAGGCTGAATTTTTCCAGCATTACAAGCTGTGATGAGAATTTATTTCTTGGCTACGTTATCCTTCAAAATGCCCTCTGATCATGCTTCTGTTACTTAAACTGCCTTGCTGCGTGTTTCCAATGACATAATTTTGGCCCTTGATAATCACGGTAATGATGTCCTGCTATTGCTTGACTTATCGTCGGCCTTCGACACTATCGACCATGCTGTCCTGATCAAAAGATTGTACACCCGTTTGGGGTTGGAGAGTTCTGCCCTGGCATCCATTGAATCGTATCTGGCTAATCGTTCGCAGTCAATTGTCATCAAAGATGTTCAGGGTTCGGTGTTGGGCCCGTTGTTGTTTTCCCTCTTCGTTGCGCCCACTGAAGATAGTATCATCACACATGGCCTGCAGTCTATGATATTTGCTGCACGCAAATGTACCTGGTTATGCGGAGATCGGAACAAACATCCTGTCTGAGTAAGCTATACGTGAACTGTACGTTCAAGACTTCTTATCCTGAATGACTGGGAACAAATGAATGTGCAACTAATCAAAAACGGAAATTGTGCATTTTACGTCTCGCCACCTACCGCATCAACCTATAGCTTCGGTGAATATTGCTGGCTGTTTGATCAAGAGAAGCGTTAGTGCCCTTGATCTAGGGGTCACCCTTGACCAATACTTGACAACGTCCACTCAATTCAAGTCTGCATCCTTTGCCCTCAAGCATATGGGTACAATATTCCTCAGTATCTGAATCAACCGAGCACAGAAAAGCTGATTCACGCCTTTTTGTCCTCTAAATTGGACTGTTATTATAGTCTATTGTACGGTCACCCTGATAAAAGGAATCTCAGTCGAAACTTCAGCGTATTCAGAACTCAACTGCTCGACTGGTTACAAAAACTAGAAGGGGTATCACATAACTCCAATTCTCCGTAAGCTTCATTGTCTGCCCGTTCGAAAACGCATCATCTTTAAGATTTTGCTCATTACTTATAGGGTTTTAAACGGTGTAGCACCCAAGTACTTGAGTGAACTACTCAATATTCATCAACCGGTTAGAAGTCTCCGTTCAAATGTTAATGACAATTTGAGACTACACAGACCGATGTTTAAGACAAAGAACCATGAGATCGCAGTTTTCGATCATGCACGCCTGCACTTTGGAACGACCTCCCTTTAGACGTGAGGAGTGCCCCGTCACTGTACATTAATTTCGTTCTTGAATATTTGTAATTTTTTGACTTGATGTATATTGCACGAGGATTGAGATTTAATGTAATGTTGGAAATTAATAATTATTAATAATATTATTATTAATGTATTATCATTATTATTATTATTATTATTATTATTATTATTGTTATTATTATTATTATTACTAAAATTACTACTATATCTTGATCATTTTATTTTTAGAGAAATATCCGAAGAAGTCCCCTAAGGAAATGGCGAGCTCACCGCCTGGT